AGAAATTACAGGCAACAGGGAGAAATCAGAGCTGCTTAACTCATATTTTTCATCAGTCTTCCCACAAAAAAAAACTATAGCCCAACATACCAAAAAACAACCATTGCAAAAGACAAATTAGAAACAAAAATTAAAATAAGGAAGAAAATGGTAAGGGAACCCTATCCGACCTTGACAAATATAAATCACTGGGGCCTGACAGATTGCATTCCAGAATTCTGAAGGAGCTGGCAGATGTTATTCAGAACCATTGCACCACATCTTTCAAAAGTCCTGGAGCACTGGGGAAGTATCTGAGGATTGGAAAAGGGCTGATGCAGTTCCCATCTTCAAGAAAGGGGGGGAAAAACAGACCGAGGAAACTACAGACCAATCAGTTTAACATCAATACCTGGGAAGATCCTAGAAAAGATAATCAAAAAACAGATCTGCGAACAACTAGAAGCAAACAAAATTATAATTAGTAGCCAGCACGGGTTTGTTAAAAACAGATCATGCCAAACCAATTTTATTTCATTCTTTGACAAGGTGACTAAACTAATAGACCAGCGAAATACTGTAGACATAGTATACTTAGACTTCAGTAAGGCATTTGATAAAGTAGACTACAACCTACTCCTTGGTAAGCTAGAAAAAGCTGGAATAGATAACATCACCACCAGATGGAACTGTAACTGGCTGGCAAACTGTACTCAAAGAGTAGTCCTCAACCACACTACATCCACATGGAGAGAAGTAAGCAGTGAGGTACTCTTCAATATCTTCATCAATGACTTAGATGAGAGAATTGAAGGATAACTCATCAAATTTGCAGATGACACCAAACTGGTAGGAATAGCCAACACCCCAGAAGACAAACTCAGGATCCAAAAAGATCTTGACAAACTTGAACAATGGGCCTTATCCAACAAAATGAGTTTCAATGTGGAGAAAAGCAAAGTTTTATATTTAGGCAGGAAAAATCAAAGGTACAAGTACAGATTGGGCAAGACCTGGCTTAAAAACAGTAACTGTGAGAGGAACCATGGAGTCCTAGTGGACAACCACTTAACCATGAGGCAGCAATGTGCAGCAGCAGCCAAAAAAGCCAATACAATCTTGGGTTGTATAAACAGAGGCATAGAATGAAGTACCGCTTTATAAAACCCTAGTAAAACCACACCTGGAATACTGCAGCCAATTTTGGTCACCATGTCACCTTTAAATAGTTTAAACAGCATTACAGGATTTGATCTTTCATCAACCTTTGGCAGTCAAAAGAAGTCTTGAAAAAAGCTTTCACCAGCCCGTTTTGTAAATCCCATAAAGAGACATCATCCAGGATTTCTTGTTGCAGCTGTTCCATGTCCAGATCCTTTTCTTGATTTGTCTTTTTTATTCCTATTTTGGTAATCTCAATTTTGTTATCTTCCATGTCTTCAAATTATCTCATGTTTGTGTCAAGTAAGAATTGTTTTTATTTTTTTCTCATCATCCTCTAAAAGTTTAATCGCTGAAATCTGTATCATTTCTGAGAAATAGTTATTAAAATCTTACTCGATTTTTTGAAGGATTTTTAAGGACTAGTTAAAAGTTATAAACAGCTTAATTATTTTAACTCTTTTCTGCCTGGTCCTTTAGTTCCCTCTAGTGTCTCTTTGCAATCTTCCAGCCTTAGTTCTTAACATCGCTTTAGTTCCATTCCAATTATTTCCCATGAGTATATTATTTAATTATATAGTTGTTTTTCAAATCTTACAGAAAAATAATCAATATTCCAAATCTCCCTGAGTCTCACAGTCCATTTGAAACTTTCTTCAATCAAAAAAATAGCTTTTTTTTTCTTTTTTGCCATTTGTATATTATTTGAAACTCTTACGACTCTGTTTAAAATCCCTTAAACGCAAAAAATAAGGTAAAACTCAACAGGTATCAGATTTAAGCTTGCTGATTAGAAGGTCTCTAATATCCATAATGTGCTTAAATGGAACATTTCCAAATGTGATTAAAAGTGAGTTTGGCTGACTTAGTGTCCTTATCATAAACTCCACCATTGCTGAGAGCAAAGATGTCACTTCCCTCAGTTTCTGGTGCTCAAACCCTTGGGAGACTGCTTTTTTATGGTCTCCTCATAAGGAACTGCCATTCAGAGACTTCTGGTGATCTCCCATTCTTTTCTTCTCTAGAGAGCCACAAAGGACAAGTCTACTGGCTGGTCTTTCTTGTTTGTAGAGACATCTTCAGTCAGGCATGAGTCACTCAAAAGTTCCTGGCTGGGTGTTTTCTGAAGGAGATTAAACAGCTGTCTGTCTGGAAAAGCTCCCTGCCCTGAGCAGCCATTGGGCTTGATGCCCTAAATGTCCCCTTTCAGTTCTTTAATTCTGTGATGAGGGGGGGGAGGGAGGGAGAGGGAGAGAGAATGAAGTACTAAAAATAATATATTAAATACCTGAATATTTAATTTCAGCAGAGACGGGGAGAGAGAGACAGAAACTGGAGCTTGTTTTGCTTACTTGCTTCGCTCATGCCTCTATTGTCCACACATATGACTGAAAATATTCCTAGCTGGGGAAAAAGGCAAAATTAAAAGATTTAATGTCACCGTCTGAAAGCTGTTTAAAAATTACATTTTTCATCTGTCAAGAAAACCCGAGTGTTTATATAACAAAATTGAAAAGCTTAGCCCATCTCCTCTTATGCTCTGTTTTGATCTTTGACATAACTCTGTTGCTTCAGTTTGTTGTTCCATTCTTTTGATCTTTCCCAGATCTGGGAAATCTGCCAGAATGGAGTGGGATCATTAACGACGTTTGTGTGAAAGAAGGCCTTCCTGTGTAATCTGCCAAATGCGGTCCAGCCATATTTTCATTTTTGCTTGACACTCTCTACCTTTTGCCTATGTTTAAAAAAAACAAAAAAAACAGGCTGATTCCAAAGGAGACAAGAATGTGAAATCACTTGCCATGTCATACACAGCAACCTTCTCCAACATGGTGCCCTTCGGAAATATTGAACATGAATGTCCATCATATTCTTTAACATGTACTGGCTGAGGGTTATAGAAACTGAAATCAAACCTAACTGGTAACCAAACTAGAGAAAGTAAATATGAAATTGTAACATAGACCTGACTTCAATTTTCCATTGAACAGATGTCACTGAAGACAAATGACATTTTTATTTCAGTAGGTGTACAAATATACATGTCAAACCTTGATTGAGATCTAGCTTACAATGTTTGAATAGGCCAGTGATGGCGAACCTTTTAGAGACTGAGTGCCCAAACTGCAACCCAAAACCCACTTATGCATCGTCAGGTGCCGGGTGGGTGTGGCCCATTGGGTGGGTGTGGCCCATTGGGTGGGTGTGGCTGCAGTAATAATGGCAGACTGGGTGGGACTAAAAAGTTCAATCAATCAATTCCAACTTTGCAAGATCTTTTTTTCCCCGCGAGAAGTTGAAATTGACCGATTGAACCTTTTTTTTTTTTGCACACGGCGGCGGAGGCCTAAAGAGAAAAGGTTTTATAAAACCCAGCTGAAGGCCTAGGACTGGGGCGATGGCGCACGTGTCCACAGAGAGGGCTCTGAGTGCCGCCTCTGGCACCCGTGCCATAGGTTCACCACCACTGGAATAGGCAATTAATACCACTGGTTATATGAGTTTTCTAGACAGAGGCAGCCTGCATATAAAACTTAACATTAGTTTATAGAGCCCTTGAATTCAATCTTCAACTTCTCATATTATATTTCTTCCTTTTAATGCCATGATGCAATACTGGGGTTACATCATCCTTAACTGTAAGGTTTGGAATTCTGCCTTTGTCCCCTTCAAAGGTCTGAATCTTGGAATCTGATGATTAACACCCTCTCTGCCAAATCTAAAGTGGCTTTTATGCAACACACATACTATGGTCATTTCCAGATCCAGCATTTTATACTGGTTTCTGTATCTATTGGGGAAATGAATCATGCTGTGTTGTGCGACTCCAGAAACCCAGTCACCTCTCAGATGTGAAGAAAGCAAAATAAAGATGTGGGTCCACAAGATGCTCCATTGCCAAAATGGAGTGTGTGTCTGTGTGTCAAGAAGTCAAGATGTGGGTTGTGATTGTGTGGGCAAAGTCCAGTCTGGGTTACTGCCAATTTGGGTTAAGGTCTTGTTAGGTGTTGCCTTCAGGCAGTAATTGGTGCTTTTCATTGATGTTGAACTGTAATGTTCCCTCAACCTATTTCAATAAATTAAATATGTATTTCCACAGCCAAAATACAGCCTTCTTCTCTATTTAGATATATGTGACTAAATTAATATATTGTTCTGAACTTAAGAGTGATTTATTTAATTGTGTGATTTGGTGTATTATGTGAAACCAGCCATAACACCTAAAAACTGTATTTAGGATTTAGCATGTAATGCAAATCTAGTCAAATGAGTTTGTATATAAATCATTATTAGATAAATCGTGGCTTAATACAATATATGAATGCAGTTAATGTAGTCAGATTGATTGATTCAGAGAGATGGTTTGTCCATACTACAATGCATGGCTACCTCATCTGAGTGCTTTGCTCACTGTGTATATTATACGAGGAATATCAATTGACAGCCTGCTTAATCTTCTAGCATGTTGTACAAGCTCATACAGTTAGTTTATAGTTCAATATGTCATGCAAAACTATGTTTCTCCCAGAAGCCCTGTTTGGGTGAACAGAAATGTAGGATGTTCAGCACGTAGTATAAGAATCGTGAACAGTATGAATTAGATGTAGTTCAAAAGCACTCTTGGTGCACTCAATCCTTTGGAGCCCAGCCCCTTGCACTAGGGGGTCTTGGGCTAAATATTTCTGGTCTTTCTTGACATTTGTTGGGTTTTAGGAAAAATTAGGTTTCTACAAGGCTTAAGATTGCCATTCCAATCAACTTCTTCCAAGAAGCTCTGACCTGCTCGTACATGATCAAGTCAGGCTCAGAAAAAGTTTCATACTGATGCTGAAACTTTTTGTTCAATTTTATATTCACAGCATGCACCAACCGAGCAGGAAGGAATGTGAATAGCAATGTCTGCAAGTGGTGTGACAATACATATCCCATCTGTGAAAATCAGGTGTGCTACAGCAACTGTGATTTTAGCTCCTATTGTGAAAAATCAGAAGAAATCTGTGTTTCTTTATGGTAAGCAAACTTTATTTTTTTAAAAAAAAATACTCCCAAGAACAAAGATAGCCTAAAATAATAGTCTGTCATGTACATTCCTATGTAGTCCATTTTTTCTCTGGTATTTGACTTAATGGAATCTAGTATTGACGCATTTGCAGAAATGGGGCAGTTCAGTAACAGGGGAACAAAAGGACAACATTTTGAAAGGCATCCGGCTTGCTGGGCTTCATGTCCTCCTGCCTGATCCTTGACATGCTGACCCTGCCCCTGCCTTACCTGGCCAGACGTCCCCAGACCCAGCTCCTGCTTTGCTGGGCCTCAAGTCTGCCCCTTAGCTCTCACCTTCCTGGGCCTCACATCCTCCCATCTAGCCACTGCCTTGTCGGCCCTCATGTCCCCAACCCGGTCCCCCACTTTGCTGGGCCTCACCTCTCTCTGCCCAGCCCTGGGCCTCATGTCCCCCCCCCAGCCCCCACCCTGTCAGGTTTCATGTCCCCCACCCGGTTCCTTTCTTGCCAGGCCTCACATCCCCCAGGCTGGCCTTTGACTTGCAGGGCCTCACATGCCCCCACCTGGCCCTCATCTTCCTGGCCCTCACATCCCTCCATCCAGCCCCCATCTTCACTGGCCTCATATCTCCCCACCCAGTCCCCACCTTTCTGGGCCCCAAGTTTCCCTGTCCAGCCCTTGCCTTCCCTGGGCTCACGTCCTTTCACCTGGGTCCCACCTTGCTGGATCTGACATACACCCCTGCCCATCCTTCACCTTGTTGAGCTTCACGTCACACTGCCCGGTCCCCACCTTGTCTGGCCTGACATCATCATGTTGCCCCCCAGCCTTGACCAGCCTCACATCCCCCATCCAGCTGTCACCTTGCCTGGCCACACGTCCCCCCACCTAGCCCTTGCCTTGCATGGCCAAATGTCATGGTTCTGACAAATGAGATAAATAAATCAGAATTTCGAAGCTAGAGGATTCCTCAAAGAACATGTTTATTGGCTACATAGTATTAACATGGTCAAAAGTGAAACCAAGTCTGAAATTCCCTCCAAAGTGATACACTATTACAAAGTGTTATGCAATCAGCTACATTCCCCAATAGAATAGTTTGGCGGGCTTTCTAACCAAATGCTCATTCCCCCCCACCTGACAGAAATGACCTTTGTTCCCATGGGACAGTAAAATATTTAGATTAGCAAATATCCTCTGCACCCCCTCCTTTTCTTGTAGCAACCTAGAATGAGCAAGATGGCTGCAGCCAGGTTCATTGTAGAGTTGACAGTTGGACCTCCCCTAAGAAGAAAGCAAGTCCTATAGAGAAAATAAAAATACAAGTTAAGAATCCTCCCTGGGTTTTTGAGGATGTTTTGTCATAAGACCTTCGTATTAATCAGTTTGCTTTTCACCCAGGTAGCTTCTGACAAGGGGTAACCTTTCCACTGAACTAAATATTGTAATTTTCCCTTATACAATCTAGTGTCAAGGATGCATTTTATTTTATAGTGTGTTTCTCCCTCCACTAGAGTGGGATCAGGCACTTTCTTGGGAACTGGCTGCAAGGATGATTCTGTGACTGGCTTTAACAAACTGCAATGGAAAACAGGGTGAACTTTCCCTAATAGCCATGGGATTTTCAACTGAACTGTGACAGGATTTATAATCCTGACTATAGGAAAAGGACCGAGAAACTTAGGTCCCAATTTCTTGCTAGGTAATTTCAGCTTTAGATATTTAGCAGAGAGGTAAACCTTCTCCCCCACGTGATCTTCTGGGGAGATCACTTCTTATCGGCTTGTTCTTTATACGTCTTAGTGGCTTGGGCTACAGCTTTTTTTATATTTGTCCAAACAGCTTGCAAAGATGTCATTCACTGATCTAGGGTCTGCGAGGTGGGAGATTCTTGGCGGTATTCAGGCATAGTGACAAACTCCTGACCAGTGGCTATTTTGAAGGGAGTGAGTCCAGTGCTACTGTGCACAGTATTGTTGTATGCTACTTCAATGAAAGGAAGGCAGGAATTCTGCCCAATTAGTCTGTTGGTAGTTAACATAGCATCTGAGGTATTGTTCCACCATTGTGTTCGTACATTCAGCCAATCCATTTATATTCAGATGAAAAGCAGATAAAAGTCCCTGGATAGACCCAATCAGTTTTACAAACTCCCTCCAGAATTTTGCAGTAAATTGAACCCCCCTGTCTGATATAATCCTTTTCAGTGCTCCATGGAGTCAATAGATTTGTTTTAAAAATAATCTGGCTAGCTTTTGGGCAGACAGAGATCCTGAGCAAGTGATGAAATGAGCGTTTTTTCATAGCTGCACAGACAGCACAGCTTTGTACATAACTTTCAATGTCTTTTTTTATGCCTGGCCACCAAAACTGCCGCCAAACCAAATACAAAGTTGTTAGGAACCCAAAATGTCCAGCTTGTTTTGCATCATGACTACATTGAAGGGTGTCGTGCCCTCATTGGAGCCGAAATCTGCTGAGGAAGATGAGCTGGAACAGCCAACAGAGATAGAGGGGGAGGCATCATTGGCTTCGAAGGAATATGGGGAGGAGCAGGCCGAGGCAGGCCAGGGCCTTTCAGGATTGGGACGGCTTGAAGGCAGGAAGGAACAGCGGCAGGATGAACATGAGAGACAGAGCTCGGGCAATGAGCAAGGGCCACACAGTAGCCCAAGGAGGACACAGTGGGGAGCAAAAAGGGGGAAAAAGTGAGCCAGAGAAGGGAAACAGAAAAGAAAAGGCATTGACTTCCAACTTCCTCTCTTGCAGTAGAAGGAAGCATTAACATCGAACCTCAACTTTTTTTACACTCAATCATCACAAATAAAATCTGTGTGCCTGTCTGCCTTCCTATCAAAGAGAGAAAGTGAGAGAAATCTGTGATAATATTTATAATGTGACCACCTATTAGCATTGTAATTATCAGTTCTTTGGCTGGAAGTTTTTTTAAACAATGAAAAACTCAATATGTTTGGAGTGGGATCATTCCTCATCCTAAACCATAATATTATATGTTTGATTTACAATTTAACCTTTGGTGATTTCAGGCAATTAAGTTTTATTTAACAAACCATGGTTAAGAAAAATGTAGCTTAGTGTGTGGTATGAACTAGGTCTTCTACTCTAAAAAATGAAAGACAAAAATGGAAAGCAAAATATCAAATATCAGATGATATTAATATTAGGCCATTAATATCTATATCTTTCTTGTTGTTTCAGGAAACAAGTCAATGCCAGTATAAAAGTGAACACTTTCTGCCACAACCCACAACTGCCAGTGGAAAATATCATGATATCGAAGTATAACACATCACAGTGCATCATGGCCCGGCAGCAGAATGAGGACGGCGTTTTTTACATCTGTGGTTGTGTGAAAGAACAGGAATGCAATGACAAGCTTGTCTTTGAAAATCATACCAATGGTTAGTCTGTTTAGTGGTGACTGACACCCATACGGAAGATTTGAACATTCAGATATTCCTGAGTTCTGACTTGTTCCTCTGACACACAGGACAGTTGGTGGGAGGCTGGATATGGTCTCCAGGAAAATTGGGGTGTTTTCAAAAAATATCTCCCTTTTCCCCGGTTACTTTATAAAGGAGGATAATTTTCTTGAGAAGGCCTCAGGTTTTATCCTAATGCTACAAGAAGGAGTGTTTATGGTCAGCATGGATTGTGATGGAGTGATCCTCTGACTCCAAACAATTCACTCCTCTTAGACCCTTTGCAGATCCACAACTGTAGCTTTCTGCCTTAACCTGATCAGAAGTTAGTTCTACAAGAAATTTGATCTGTTTCCTGTTGCACTTTAAAAATAGAGGCAGCATACTGTCCCCAGTTCCTCAAGCATTCCACCAAACATTTGCCTGTCAGGCAAAAGTATAAAAACAATAAAATACCAGCCTGGGAAGAAACAACTTGTGGGAATCAGATATTTTTCCCAATCCCTGCTGGTCTAGTTGGAAGTCTGCACATTTTCAACCAAGAAAGTGGCAGTAAAGTTTCAAGCAAACTTTGTGCTTTCTGAATGAAATTTATCCCAGCAAACAGCTTTACAAGCTGATGGTTAATGGGTTCAAATCCTCTCTTTGGCAAAACATATTGGCACATCTTTTTTTATATAAACGTTTTATTAATTTTTAAGAATTACAGTCTTTAGTACTTAGTAAACAACATGTTGTCTGGGTTCAGATATTTAACATTAACTTCTTCAATATAAATCTGTTCAATACTACACAATCCCTGATCCTCCTTTCTTCTCCATATTTTTTCCATTTTCCTCTCATTACACAGTTACAATTTTGTTAATGTATACAGAGTTAAATATAAGCATCTTCATATTTTACTAATATTATGCAAATAATAATATCAATTCATAAATCATAATGTCAATTCATAAATTAATATCCATCTTTTTCGTGCTCTTGTTAAGGTTTGATTTCCCATCAAACATTTGAAATATCTTTGTCAGTTATGGTTTTCTCAATATTAATTACATTTATATAGCTAAAAGTTTTATTCATATCAATCCTCCTCTTATCTTCATATTTCCCATATCAAAAAAGAGAAAAAATGCTATCTTAGTTCTAAATTATATCTTTCACTATAAAAGTCTAATTATATCTAAGGGCATCCATTTTTTATATCTTATTCAAACAAGTATTTAAACATATAATGCCCCCTCTAAAATATTTCCCTCTGTTTTTTAAATCTAACTCTCACATTCTTTCTTTGCCAAGTAGCTTTCCAAGCCAGGGCAATTAGATCACCCAGGAATTTTCTTTCTATTTTTGTAAAAATTGCTTGGCATGAGGAAGCCAATTTAGGTAGGGTGTTTTTTTAGGGAGGGGAATTCCACCCATTTATATTCCTTAAACAACTCCCAGTTCCTTTCTCCCGCCATATCTCTTTTCATTCCCTATCTTCCAAGTTGTGACATTTTCCCTAACAGCTCTATATTCCATTTTTTAAAACCTTCTTCCTTGCCATCAGATATATTTTGCAGACCTAGGGGTTAAAAGGTCTTTCACATATTCATTATTATAACTAAGTCTAGTAGTATTTTGTTTGTATATAGTCGTTTATATTTCCCCTCTTTTATCTCTTCCATCTCTAAATCCATTTCTTCTGTTTCGTCTTCTAGTTTCTGGTTTGTTTGTTCATACTTTGTAGTCTTTATCTGGGAACTTTCTAGTTGTAGATTTAATTTGGTGAATTGCTCATTTATATTTCTAAATTGTTTTTAATCTCATTATACTTTCTTATTATGTCTTCTTTATATTCAACAATTGTTTGGTGAATTAGTTGTAGTATAGAATATATTTCCTTCTGAAAGGTATTTGTTTTTTCTTGAGGCATCATTCCTGGAGATCCTCTAGTATCACAATCTCAGAAGAGTAGATCAAAATTTCCTCTAATTTTCTGGTCTTTATATGTATCCTTTATAATCCAATAGGTTCCAAAGTATAGATTCATTTCTAAAGCAATATTTTATAGCAGGGGTGTCAAACTCAATTTCATTGAGGGCCACATCAGCATTGCGGTTGCCCTCGGGGTGTGTGTGGCCAGGGTGGGTGTGGCCTACTGGGTGGGCATGGATGGAGTGGGTGTGGCCTACTGGGTGGGCATGGCCAGCTCTACATCGTTCGCGTCAAGGGTGTCTGTGGGGGCCTGGGCAGGAGTGGGACAGATCTGAGGGTCTCTGGCAGAAGGGGTGGGACTAGGGCAAGTGCCAAGACATGGCCCACTGGAGGAGCCTCACTGTTCCTCTCAGGCCATGTAGAGGGGGGGCTTATGGAACTAAGACTGAATGCGTTTCAGCATAGATGGCCACCACAAAATTGTACATTGGCTCCCGGCCGGCCTGGGTCAGGGCCAAGGCAGCAGGGGCCGTTCCCTCACTGTTTCCAGGATGGATTTGTGGGGCCACATGAAACCACTTCGCGGGCCTCATCTGGCCCCCGGGCCTTGGGTTTGACATGTCTGTTTTATAGTGATCCTTTGTCTCAAGTACCCAAAAATTGTCAGTCAGGCAAGGTTGTAATCCACAATGTTTGAAGTGTTCAAAATGTTCAACCTCCCTGAAAACACCTCAAAAGTCTCTCCCAGCCAGGCATAGTCCCACTAGCTCTTGAAGTTAGAAGTCCAAGCTCAGTAGGCATTCATAATCCAAGGTCAGGGTGACAAGTATGCGAAAATATTTTCCTTTATTGCCAGCTGTTCTCCCAGGCTAGGAGTCACCAAGCAGCCAGGAAGCAAGTTATAGTGCTATACACAAATCCACCACTAGATGTCATTCAAAGTTAATTTTCCACTCTTAAAGAATTGATTTTTTATATTTCGCCTCAATGTTTTTTTTCAAAGAGAAAATCTCAGCAGCTAATGGCCGGCCACAGGAATGAAGCCGGTCTTTCCCCTGCCAGTTTGGAGAGCTTTCCTTGGATCGAATGGAAAGACCGCCATCTCTCTGTGATCATCAAGGCACCCCTCCTCTTCATCGCCTTTTCAGGGTGACTTTAGGACCTTTTTAGGGCCCCCAGCAGGGCAAAATTGGGTGCGGAAGGCAGAGCCCTACCTTCCTGTGTCCCGTTCTGCTATGACACAAACCGGAAGTCCTCACATATTGGCATATCTATACAGTCTTCTAGCTTTGGCTTCTGGATGCTTGGCTAGCTATTCCTTAAGGACCCTTCTGCATCACACAGCCTTCCTCTCCCTCCTTGCTACCATGATGTTTTTTCTGAATCAAAACTGAGGTACTGTTTGCCATCTTTACCCACACAAACCCTACTATTTATGTAATACATACCACTTCAGCAACTACTGAGAGAAGGAAGAACAATTGAGGTTGCTCAGGATGGGGGCTTCCCACGGAAGCAATCTGGCAGCAACTACTGAGAGAAGGAAGAACAATTGAGGTTGCTCAGGATGGGGGCAATCTGGCAATGCCTCTTCTACTTTGCCATAATTCATCCAGCATTTGGTCATGAGGTATAGTGACCCCACTTCCCAGGGATCAGGTGTTGCAGATGAACTGGGAATGAATTATAAAGCAAGAGGGGAATCTAGGAATCTCCCAGATCGAGTTCTGACAAAATGGGCAGATTCCACCAGAACAGTTAAAGCCCAGTTTTGGTTTAATTGGAAGAGTTAGCATAAAAATACAGATGAAATGTTAGGTGGCTGCATTTTCTTTGCACAAAACTCTTCAAAGAAAAGCTATCAAAACTAAGATGTAAAAGTAAAGTTAGGGACACGCACAGGAGTTTGGCATTCCATCACTGCTGTTCTGCAGGCAGTTGTTCCAATTGTTTATAATGGCTACTTAAAGAAAAATAATGCAGCAAATCCATTCAATTATATGCCATCAAGTTGATGTCAACTCTTAACAATCACGGAGCTTTGGAATCTAACTCTTTTTCTCTCATTCAGACTCTGTGACATAAAATGAGGGACTTGCGCCCATCATTTACAATAACTTCTGGGTTTTGTGAGTTCTGTGTTTCCCCATTCATGCGTCATATCATTTATTACAAAACTGAGCAAAAAGTTATCCTGGGTGCTATACCTGGCTGCAGGAAGTCCCAGAGAGCAAATGAACAGTGCAACAATCCTAATCAATAAGGCAGTGATGGTGAACCTTTTAGAGACCGAGTGCCCAAACTGCAACCCAAAACCCACTTATTTATCACCGGGCGCCAGGTGGGCATGGCCCACTGGGTGGGCGTGGCTGTGGTGGTCATGGCAGACTGGGTGGGTGTGACCAAGGTTGGCGTGGTCACCTCGATGTTGCTTGTGGGGAGGAAGGCCTGTGGGGGCCGGGCAGGGTTGGGGGAGATCCAGGGGATCTCTGGCAGGTGGGGCAGTGGGCAGGATGCTCGTCCTGTGGGGTGAGGCGAGACAAGGCGAGGCGAGGCAGGGCGGGGAGGAGGGAAACCAGCCATGCTGGTATGCATCTGGCCACGTGGGACCTCGGTGAGTTAGTGGGCAGCTGGTTGAAGAGGGACAGTTGCCATCTCTGGGGCATGGCGCTCATGCCCACAGAGAGGGCTCTGAGTGCCACCTCTGGCACGCGTGCCATAGGTTCGCCACCACTGCAATAAGGCATTTTGCAAAGTTCAGGTATCAAACAAACAGAAATTGACTTTTGGCTTTACAGAATTAAAGTTTTTCTGTTTTATCCTTGATAGCAGAAAGGGCTTTAAAGTAGCCCAGGACCTCCACCAGAATATGACCTTTATACCCGATTGATTTCTAGGTTTATAAGATATAGTACCCACTGAAACATATTGATGCCCTCATTCTTTGTCACAAACCAACCTGTATATCATGCAGGGGGGAAAAAGATTTCTGGCAGAGACCAAACTTTGAAACCACAAAGAAATACAAGGCAACATCTTTCTTTCTTTCATTTGTTTTCAAAGAAAGCAGTGTGCCTGAAACTTTTTTAGGCTCATGCAACAATCCCAGCTGTAAACTGATGACTTTGCATTTGCGGCTGGAACTTATTTAAAGAGTTCCCAGGGGTGATGTAGCCAGGAGGCATTACTTCAGCTTTGCACGCTGCAGCCCTGGAAAATGCTCAAAAAAAAAAAAAAAGGTTCTGCTTTCCATTGAATGTCACCATTTCAGAGATGTTGTCATAGCCATCAGGTAAGTCCATTACTGAAAAAGATAGCAGAGGCCTCACACTTTCCAAAGCAAACTTAAATTATATCATTTGATGCTGATCTTGTGGTTTGAACTTGGTGTCTTATTTTAGAAACATTCGCAGCTTAAGCACAAATCAACTGCAGCAGACTGTTTTTTCTTTTTCTTTTCGGGAAGTGCCAAGTCAAACAGCTAAGGGGTCTGGCTTTCTTACTCCCAGGATCTGAATGGTAGACTTCACCCACTGAAGTCATGCCCTGAAGTCTTTAACTTGAGGGATGGTTCTGAACTACTCATCCTTCACTATTCTATTGGGCAAGAAATCCCTGCTTTGAATTTAATGAGTAAGAATGGAGGGACTGAATACATTGCTTCATGCTGGGGCAAAGAGATAAAATCTCATTTGTATTGAAATGACACCACTGTTCTAGTAATGTTCAGAATGTATTCTAAGGCAGGGGTCCCCAACCCCCTGTCTGTCGACCAGTACCGGGCCGTGGCATGCCAGTAACCTGTCCACACAAACAAGCAAAGCCCCATTCGCAAGATGCAGGCAGCACGCAAAACCACGCACCCTCCGGTCTGTGGAAAAAACCTCTCTCCACAGAACCCGTCCCTGGTGCCCAAAAGGTTGGGGACCTCCGTTCTAAGGCCCTTGCCTTTTTTGCACCCTATTTTAGACCCAAATACTTCAGAGCCAAATACTGGTAGGGCCAGCTCTTCCATATCACTTTCTCTGCCCAATGGAATTGTTCTTTTTGGAGCTTTTAAACTGAAGCTTCTGTTCATTAGCAGACTGATGGAGACTTTTCAGCAATGGCTCCCTCCTTTTGAAATATCAGTCCCAGCACAACACTCTGATCACTATCATTTAAGAGCTGGTATTTGTTTTCCTGCCTCAAAAAATGGTGACCTTCTCTGGGCTCAGAACCTGGTTAGTACTTGGATGGGAGAATCCACATACTAGATAGAAGAATAAAACAAAATCTGAGAAGGTTATGGAAAACCTCTTCTGTTCCTTGCCCATAAAACTACATGGGTTGTCCAGGAGGTCACTAAGAGTTCGACTCAGCTCACAGAAACTTCATCTACTTGTTTCCTTAGACTTTTAAGCATTGTTATCCTTGCCTTTCCATTTGAAAAGTGCTTTGATTTTATCAGTCTGAGTGGACCGATGCTGTTTGAGTTAGTTGTATATCTTCATAGAGCTCATTTTAGCAGCTTCTACTTTTTTTTAATCCATATTGTTGTTTTTTTTAGTGAACATAAATGAGTGCATGCTTATCAGAAAGATAAGGCACTTTGGTTTAATGCTTTCTTCTTTAAAATGCGTAATAATTAATAACAGGACTATTTATATTTTTAAAAGCCTGGAACAAATGAGCTACCCAAGTTTTCCATTCCCATTCTCTTGGGTTTTCTTGTTCAGGAATGAGGGAGCTGCTCAAGAAAGAATTATTACTTTCCATCAGCAAAACTCTTTCGCTCAGCCACGTGGCGTTCATAAGATGCTTATGCTTTATGCTGAATCAGTCAATTGATCGACTGCTCTTTTCCTCAACCTGGTGCTCTCCAGATGTCTTAAAGAATAGTTTCCATTCTTACCAGCCCAATTCACAGGATTAGATAGTCTCTAGCATATCCTGAGGGGTTGGGGGTGGAGGAAAGGTGATCTGTTGTCTCTTATAGGGATGCCGAATTAAGTTCTGTATTTCATTAATTTTGGAGGAAGGGGAAGATTTGCATCAATGTTGATTCCGGCAAATGCCTGGAAAACTCCCTGCAGTTTTCTTCGGCAGGATTTCAGAAATGACTTGCCCTTATTTCCTCCTTACCTAGGCAAGTAAGAGAGAGTGACTGGCCCAAGATCACAAAGCTTGGTGCCTAAAGTGGGACTAGAACTCCCAGTCTCCCAGTTTCTGGCCTTTTGTCTTAATCACTACACCAAATTAGTTCTCACTATGATTTCATTATTTCATGCACTCAGTGTGTTTAATTAATGTAATCTATCTAATTAACATAGCTATATAGTTTTCTTTATCTGGGCAAGTGGAAAAACTACAAGGTAAAGCATTAAGTTGTAGCCACGCTACAGTTTCATGGCATGGGACCTGTGTCTGTGGTTTTAATCTGCAAGCGTGTTAACCTTCCTTTAGAGCAGATGGAGGAATTTTATGGCCTCATCCAGGCCAATCCAACCCTTTGGCTGTCCCTGTCCAACCCACATGAGATTAATCAGAAATTAGAAATCAAATGTGAATAAGTGTACACCATGCACACATGCACACCGCATTTCCTTTATTTTGAAGGCCAGTTGGTTTTCTGTTCTATTTATATATGTTTGCGTGTGCATGCCTATGCACCTTCACAGCCTTGTTGATTTCGGCCCTCCACACAAGTCCCAGTTTTGCGTATGGTCCCTTAGGAAAATTAATTGCTTAGCCCTGTGTTAGAGGACACAGGGTCAAATATAGCAGAGAGCCTAAGAAGCAAGGGAACAGCCCTTGCACTGCCTTTCCTGCTAGCCGAGAGATAACTTTCAAAATAGGGGCAACAACGCCCAAGAGGTGCAGTGTACAAGGCAGTCTCTATAGCTGAGTCAGCATCTTGATGTCCTGAAAAGAACTTCTAAATGCCTTCCCAGAAGGCTGCCTAGATGACCTCTGGAAAACCCAGACCTGCCTGCTGTAGCATGCTCGACTCTGTTAAAGGTGAAATAAAAGAGGAAAGAGACTGTTGATTTCTACTGCCTTGTTGTAATTGGGGACTGAGAGACGAGAATACCGTGCAGGTAGTCCTCGACTTACAATCATTTGTTTAGTGACAGTTCAAAGTATACAGCGGCACTGAAAAAAAGTGACCGATGACCATTTTTCACACTTACAAAAGTTGCAGCCTCCCCATGGTCAGGCGATCAACATTTGGATGCTGGGCAACCGGCTCATATTTATGATGGTTGCGGTGTACAGGGGGTCACGTGATCACCTTTTGCGACCTTCTGAGAAGCAAACTCAATGGGGAAGCCAGATTCACTTTACGACTGTGTTACTAATTTAACAACGCCAGTGATTCACTTAACAGTTGTGGCAAGAAAGGTCATAAAATGGAGAAAAACTCACTTAACAACCATCTGGTTTAGCAATGGAATTTTGGGGCTCAGTTGCAGTCATAAGTTGAGAACTACCTGTAATCTTTTTTAAAAAATAATAATAACAGGAACAACAAGAGTAAAAATGAGAAGATCGTACAGCCTCTCCTTCAGGTGACACAGGGAAGTAGCAAGTAGCCCCCCTCCTCTTCGTATCAATGCTGAAGACATGACTGAGGAAGTTGCTAGAGAAGAATGGTGGGGTGAACAGTAGGGAACCTTTGAGTCCTTCCAAAATCTTCTGCTGCCATGTGAGCAGGAGCCCAGGAAGAGAAAGGCTCCTACTACAGACGATTGTGTAACACTGGTGGAGAAGCAACCTTTCACTGATGTCACCAGAACAACTGAGAGAAAGGTGAACCTCCTCTCCTGTACTGGATTCACCATACGACTGTTGCCTGTATTGGATGCTAAAATTGGGGGAACCTCTGGATTGTGGCCCCAAGTCTTGGGCTGAAAAATTTGGCCCTAAAATCCTATAGGTCACTGGGGAAAGCTCTTCGAAGTAACTGCTCTGTGTAGGTTGAAACATCCTTGCTAATCTCTGCCTTTTTCTTTCCCCGTAGGATACTCCATGCTCCATAGCAGGGAAATCATTCCTGTAGCAGCCATCAGCCTGCTGCCCCCGCTGTTGGTGGCAATCATGATCACCGTGATATTCTACCTCTGCCGAACTCATCGGCAGAGGAGACGATCCAAGGAGTGGGCCCAGAAACATACTCGGTGCAGTGAGCTGCCTGAATCCCGCAGAGCCACCACTTATGACGAGATCCTGTCTGTCAAGATAGATCATCATTCTGCTCTCCACCCGGCCTGTGCCAGCAGCCTCAACCACATCAACGAACTCCTGCCGGTTGAGTTGGACGAAAGAGTGGGGAAAGGGCAATTTGCAGAAGTCTGGAAAGCCAAACTGAAGCATGCCTCTTCAGGCAAGTATGAGATGGTGGCCGTGAAGATTTTCCCTTGTGAGGAATTTGCATCCTGGAAAAATGAAAGCCAGATCTTCGCGGATGCCAACCTGAAGCACTGCAGCATCCTTCGGTTCCTTTCTGCAGAGGAGAGACACTCTGGACTTCAGAAAGAATACTGGCTGATCACCGCCTATCACAGCCAAGGCAATCTTAAGGATTACCTGTCCAGGAATATTCTCAGCTGGAGAAACTTGCAAAAGATGGCAGGTTCCCTCGTGAGTGGTGTGGCCTACTTGCACAGTGACTACACTCCCGGTGGCAGTCCCAAAATTCCCATTGCCCACCGCGATATCAAAAGCACAAATGTTCTCATTAAGAACCAACAAGAATGTGTGCTGTGTGATTTCGGAATTGCTCTGAGACTGGATCCATCTTTAAGCGTGGAAGATTTTGCGAATAGTGGACAGGTGAGCACCGCAGAACAAAAGTAGCTCACTTTGCTTGCTGGGAAATAGAGAAGGTTTCTTTATAGGAGACTCAAGCAAAGAGGGGTTTTCGCATTTTTGTAACACACCATCGCTATCACCCACACTGACATAATTTCTTGCATTTTTTTCCCCACCTCACTCGTTTCTTCACAGGCAACACAGTCATAGGTAAAGAGAAATGAAATCCCGGGTGTGCTTCCTTCTGATCAGGAACATGTTCCAAGTTGCATGGAAACACACACGTGTAGAACTCTCCATGTTTTGTGTTCTCCCGTGCAAATGTTCATGTTCAGCATGAAGATATGGCATACAGTATTATTAAAATAATAACATGGTGCATGCAGGATTGTTTTTATTTACAATAGGCTTGCTTGAAATCAATCCAATGAACGCTGCACCTGTACTGTCAGCCTTTAGATCAGATGTACCAGCTGGGCCTTCGTTCATTATAGGCAGTAAGTCAGAGTCATAATTTCCTTCTTTTGAATCTGACTCCACCTATAGCAGTGACATGGCGGCTAGCAATGTTTACAGACCGTATGGATTGATTTCTGATGCACACACAGCACACACACATGCAAGCACACACACTTTATTCAGCACACACACACACTTTCTTTATTCAGCAACAAAGCATCATCTTTGCTGAACAATTGGTTAGGAGCTCAGGCTAAAATCATGCTATTTTCCAGAAGTCCACTCTTTTTCCGTCTTTTGGAAAAAGCAGCAAAGGCATGGAGGAGCATTTATCAAACCAAAATGAGTACAAATGAGTTACTTCCCAAGGATTTTTTTTTTGTATATTCGCTATTACTCAAAATTTCAACGTAAATGGTTAACATGTTCCTTGGGCAAAATTCTGAAGATAAAAGATTGGAGATGTTCCGTATTTGATGATGATGATGATTTAAAAGTTATTTTATTTTGTATCCAAAGCCTGTGACAAGACATTTCTCCTATGATGGGATGGATCTGTCATAGCTTTTAGTGTTGCCTTTGAACTGACATGGCTTCTCTCACACATTTACAGACATGTACCTGTTTTAATCTGTATGTGGTTATCGTTAGGTGGGTACTGCCAGATACATGGCTCCTGAGGTTTTGGAATCCAGAGTGAACCTTGAAGATCTGGAATCCTTTAAGCAAATGGATGTCTATTCTATGGCTCTGGTTTTATGGGAGATAGCCTCCAGGTGTGATGCTATAGGAGGTAAGTCAACATTTCTCAATCATCTTTTCCTGGACCATAGGAGAGGGATGAATTGCCTCTCATTTTCAAATTATTATTGCAATATTGTTTCCATCTGGATATTCTAACAAGTATTAGCCAGAATGCATGGGAAAATGCATTTCTGAAATGGAAGTCGTTCCAGGTCCAGTAGAGAAGAAATCTGGTCATTAAATTGAAAAGTCACCTATATCCAAGAACCATCAAATCAACCTTAGAGTAATGATTGGGTGATCTGGCTCATTGCAATGCAATTTCATGCAATTCACATGGAATTGCACTACTTATCCACTATGAAATAATTGTTATCATTAAATTATATTAAAATTGTTCTCCACTTTAGCAGAGCTCAGAGTCATCTTTGGTGAAGTTAGACTCAACACTATAGTGTAACTTTCCAAGACTTATTGATTCCACCACCTGCTTCTGATTCAACTGATATGGTCTGTGTCTGATTTCATCCTGTTTTTACATTCAGTTTCTATGAACATCAGTTTTATGACTTTTATTTATTTATTTATTTTTATTTACATTTTTGTGTACTGCTCCAATCTTAGTAGCTCTCTAAGAAGCACACACACACACACACACACACACACACACACACACACACACACGAAAAATATAACAGACAATAAAAGTATTTACTGGGCGCCTAAAATCATATTAAGAGCCAAAAACTGATTGAAATAAAATTACCTTTTTCCCCCCATTCAGCCGTTTCTGATTTTCCAGATGCTGAAAGGATGTTTCAAAATGTGGTTGACATCACTGAGAAAGCCTGACAACTAGCTCACAGTCCCTGTCCCTTACATGGGGATGGGACTCTCTAAAGATGTTTGGCCAGAATGGGTAGAATCAATCATATTTGATAAGGCAATCCCTCATGTATCCATATTATGTAGGGCTTAATAAGTAATGCTCAGCTATTTTAACTGGACACGAAAGCATTCTAACAACCAGTATGGTGATGGGAGTAATAGGCTACAACAGGTTTTCCCAGTTGGCACTTTGGCTGTATTCTGGACCAGCTGGAGTTTCCAAGTCATCTTCAAAGCCTGCCTCGTGTAGAACATGTTGTTATCCAGCATAAGTTATTGATACAGGGGTTTCCTGGTCCAGTAGCAGCTTAACTAGTGCTCCAACTCTATCTGGCACTCCTTGGCTTGGGCTGAGGTTATTCACAGGACCTTGTCTCCCTGGTTATTTCTGCCTGTCTTATCAAATCTGGCAGGATGGAACTACTCTGAGTTCAATCAACTAAGGAATTCTGATGGAGTCCAGAAGATGAGTCTTTTCTGCTATAATGCCCACCCTCTGAAACATTCTTCCTTCAGAGATCTGGTTGACCCAAATCTTGCTGACCTTTTCTAAAGCCCCGAACAACCCAAACGTGTGAAGGAACCTATTCTTGACTAATGATTAATGTGATTTGGGTTGTTGTTGTTTGTATTTTAATGTTCGTATATCTTTTTTTTTTTTACTTTTTGATACTGCTCGCCACACAGAGCCATTTGTTGAGATGGGTGGTTATATAAATTAAATTAAATAATTAAATATATTTGCTCCTTTGGACACACAGTTATCAGGGTTAATATTCTTAAGATAACTCAGATATTTACATACAAACTCCATCTTGGTAATTTGTTTATGCCCAACTGCTACATGATAGACTCCAGACTACAGTTCAAGGCTTGTAGTCCTGATGATTTACAATCAAATGCCATTTTTTTTTTTAGCTTCTTTGCAGCTGTCCAAAGCACAAGTAATTGTTCCAAGCAAGTTCTGTGTTCTTTAGCAAGATTTATTGAGATGTAAAGGATAGGATTTTTGACAAATTTCAGCAACTGAACTATTTCAGTTCATTTCAGAATACCAAAATGCATTTGGATTAGAGATATTTTTAGTGTGTTTCAAAAGGTGTTCCTGTGATGAATATGCAGTTCATTTCCTTAATAAAGGAGCAGGCCATTTATCAAAAATTCCTGAATCCTTATCAATCTGTGAATCAACCATCAGCAGCAGGTTACACTTCACCCAGCAGGTATATGTTAAATAATATAGGAAAGAAGACCAAGTTCCTTGGCATGGAAATGGAAACACTACAAGATAGTGCCTCCTATTTTCAATCCTTGCAGGTGGTCCAGAAGGATACCATGGGAGATGACAGTGAAAGTTGCTAAAAAGCCTACTGGGAAGGATGTATTCCTACCACCTAAGTCCTGATGAAGAACATCTACTAATTTGACTAATTTTGTGTCTATGCCATGATTAGATCTGAATCCAGACTAAAGAAATCTTCTAAACCCGGGGTAGGCAAACTTGGCTCTTTTATGACTCGTGGACTTCAACTCCCAGAATTCCTGAGACAGCATAGCTGGCTCAGGAATTCTGGGAGTTGAAGTCCACGAGTCATAAAAGAGCCAAGGTTGCCTAGCCCTGTTCTAGACGATTCATTTTCTCTAGACTCCGTTATAAATGCTGTAGGATTTCCTGCCTGAGCAGGGGGTTGGACTAAAAGACCTCCGAGGTGTCTTCCAACTCTGTTATTCTGTTAATAGAGTGCCTATTGCTTTCTCAACAAACTTCCACTAAAAGAAGCCATTTCAGACAACAATGAAGTTGTCAAACATGGCACTATCAAGACACAGACTCTTCAGGAGAGGGCACGCCACCACTTTTTTCTGAGAAGCAGACACAAGACTCTTCCCCAGAGATGAAATCATCACCTCCTGAATCCAGCTGCACATATTCTATCCTGTTATAAGAAGAAACTAGCAGGGACATGGATCTAGCTATGCAAGTGGCAGACCTCGGATATTTATTGGTTTATTTATCTGCAGCCGCTTGGTAGCATCTAAACATTGAACCAATTAAAACGCAGGAAATAAGCATGTCAGGCTTGTCCTCCCTGTATTTGATTTACAGCAATGCCATATTTTGTAATCTCTTCCATTTCTTCCATTATTGTAGAGGTGAAGAATTATGAACCACCCTTTGGATCAAAGGTTCGAGAGCGACCTTGCATGGAAGTTATGAGAGACATTGTGCTGTATGGTCGAGAACGACCAGAGATTCCAACTAACTGGTTGGTGCATCAGGTGAGTCCTCAAGCCATTCCAGACGAGGTGATCTCTGTACTGCTGATTTTAATAAAACTATTAAAAGGGATACGATAGCTTTGGGAAGTCCACCAAGAGAATCTTTTCTTTTGTTGAATGTCCACCTTCTTGTAACAAAGAAGATCAATGCAATTATATAACCATTAAAATAATTAATTACTCTGAAATTATATTACTCATAGTTAATTCTTGCAAAACACAATCTGATTTAACTATCAAAGAGGTTTTTTTGCACCAATCCAATGCCAGCAGAAACAAGCACGTGCATCATAGAACCCATTTCTATTAAATATTTCCTTCACAAGTTAATTAACGTTGAAATGTCCCTTAAAATATAATCTGCTTGGAGTAATATTCATTTTAATTACCTTAATCTTGGCCCACCAACTAGATGGAATCTTAATCTATTAATATCCATAGCAATCTTATCTATAACATTAACCATATTGCTTTGCACATTTTGAAATGTTTTTGCAATATGTGATCCTAATTATTTAATATATTCTGAACAGAATGCAAAACCCAACTTCTTAGAGTAATCTGTTATGTATCAAAGAAACTAAATTAATTTTTCCAATTAATTTATAACCTGAATATTTAGCAAATTGTTGAATCATATGCATCAAGTTAGGCAATTAAAGAATTATCCGATGTTGCCAAAAATGTCATCAGCATATAGAAATAATTCATACCCAGAATCCATCAATATATCTAACAAGAACATGAGGTTACCTAACACAAATTGCTGATGGTTTGATCATTAAATCAAAAACCAACAAGGAAAGTAATAATAATAATAATAATAATAATAATAATAATAATAATAATAATAATAATAATAATAGTAGTAAAGTTGGAAGGGACCTTGGAGGTCATCTAGTCCAACCCCCTGCTCGGGCAGGAAACCCTACACCATTTCGGACAAATGGCTGTCCAGTCTCTTCTTAAAAACTTCCAGTGTTGGAGCATTTACTGCTTCTGGAGGCAAGCTGTTCCACTGGAGGCAAGCTGTTCCAGCGACCATTACACGCTCAGAAGATGCAGATAACAATTTGGTGAAGCATCTAGGAAAAGTGTCTGTTGTTCAAGATTTCTTTTGACTCAAGGCTTCTGGTCCTCTCCAGGTTTGTGCCTGAAGTCTCTTCTTTATACCAAAGCTATCCATACATTTTGTTTAAGTTCCTTGGCTGCTCTATCGTAGTGTGTGCACAGGCAGCATTTGAGACATGTCCCTGCAGTTTTCTTATCAAGGTTTTTCAGTAGTGGTTTTCTATTGCCTCCTTCCTAGGGCTGAGAAAGAATGGCTGGCCCAAGGTCACCCAGTTGGCTTTGTCCCTAAGATGGGAGGGACTAGAATTCGGTCTCCGTTTCTAACCTGGGAGAATCTCTACACTAAACTGGTTTACTCTACCATTGCTAGCTAGTATTTTATCCTGGGCTTCTTATGGTTTATAAGCCATTTTGAGATTGTTTCGAGGTGTACTTAGGAGTGTTTTAGACATGTGGGAAATGTTTGAACTTAGCCAACACTGTTGCTAGGATATTCCAGAGATAACATGTGTTGTGTATTGCTGCAAGTGACTAATACCGATTATTTAAGCCTTAAACATCTTACAACAGCAAGCCTTAATATAATATAAACAACCTATCAATAGTAATTGATGATATTTAAACATAATTAAATACTACTAGTATTTAAAAATAATTATCAATACTCTTTTTAATTTAATTTCTGAGTCAGTACAATTTCTGTAATGCATGCATGTATCTGCCGAGCTAAGGCAAGTCATGTACTGGTATCTAACTTTTAAAAATAAAAATTAAGTTTTATCCTTAAGCTCATTGATGATTATGTGGACATGTTCCAGTGGTCTTCTTAGCACTAATGCAGAAGTATTTTGTCATTGTCTTCTTCCAAGATTTTTTTTTACTTCTCAGTCTAGTCTATAGTCATAGGAATTTATGGTAACTTGCTAAGTAATAGTTCACCAGGTTTAACTGCACCTATCTCTTTGAAGAACAGCTGATTGGCTAATCAGGGGTAGGCAACCTTGGCTCTCAACTCCCCAAATTCCTGAGCCAGCCATAAAAGAGCCAAGGTTGCCTACCCCTGGGCTAGATGCTGCAATAGCTTTTCCAACCGTCTATGGCTGAATGTCCTCCATGCCACCTGTGGATGAAGCTGTAGACCAAATTGTTGATGGGTGCCTTATTGGGAAGAGCTGGTATTTCAGCAACTGAATTCAAGTGAAAAACGAATTTTGCAAGAAGAATCTGGGACAAGATGAGAGAACTGAAGCATTTAGAAGAGGAGAGTCCATTTTTTGAATACTCATTTTTTTCAAATTTTATAGCTATTTTTCTATTTGTAGAGGAAAAAAAGGTTTAGATCTACTGCCCTCTGTGCTCAATGTGTTAAAACCCAGATTGGCATTAAAAAAAACCCCATTTTCAATTAAGTTGATGGAATCCACTGTACATCTTTCAGCTTCAGCCATGGTAACAAATGCAATACTGAATGTCAGGTCATAGCCATTGGATAAAAATCCTACCTTTATAAAGGCTAATTTACTCCACTGAATCAAAATGGGTATAGGATTATACCAAGTTATTACTGCATATTGCCCTTCTATGTACAATATTGTTACCCTTAATTTGACTGTCAAATGAACAATACAGGGAATTTTGGGCATTGCAAAACGTTATTTCAGTAAGTGTACGTAGTCTTTTGTTTCAGCTCATCTAAACCTAAAGTTATGCTAACATTATTTTAAAATATGAAATGATTAAAATCTGCAAGCAGTCTCTGTTCTTTTTAACTATCATCTGGAATTTGTCATCTATGGCACCTTCATTTGCAATTAAAATACAGTAATTTAAAATACAGTATTACACTTCAAAAAATGGCAGCACATTTAGGTGATTCCTACTTACAGCGCATTCAGTGTTCAGATCACCTTCACTTTTGTTAGTTTTGTTATCCAGAGCCTGATTCTACAGTGGTTGAAATTTATTTTTTTTCTCCTTAATCTACTACACTTAGTACCCCCAAAAAGAAACAACTAAAATATTTGTTGTTGTTAATTGCGAAGTCGTGTCCGACCCGTCGCGACCCCATGGACAATGTTCCTCCAGGTCTTCCTGTCCTCTACCATCTTCTGGAGTCCATTTAAATTCACACCTACTGCTTCAGTGACTCCATCCAGCCATCTCATTCTCTGTCGTCCCCTTCTTCTATTGCCCTCAATCTTTCCCAACATTAGGCTCTTCTCCAGAGAGTCCTTCCTTCTCATTAGGTGGCCAAAGAACTTGAGTTTCAACTTCAGGATCTGGCCTTCTAAAGAGCAGTCGGGGTTGATCTCTTCTAGGACTGACCGGTTTGAACGCCTTGCAGTCCAAGGGACTCGCAGGAGTCTTCTCCAGCACCATAGTTCAAAGGCCTCAATTCTTTTGCGCTCAGCCTTTCTTATGGTCCAACTTTCACAGCCATACATTGCAACTGGGAAAACCATGGCCTGGACTATACGCACTTTTGTTGGCAGGGTGATGTCTCTGCTTTTTAGAATGCTGTTAGATTTGCCATAGCTTTCCTCCCCAGGAGCAAGCGTCTTTTAATTTCTTGGCTGCAGTCCCCATCTGAGGTGATCTTTGAGCCCAGAAAAATAAAATCTGTCACTACCTCCATTTCTTCCCCATCTATTTGCCAGGAATTGAGAGGGCCGGATGCCATGATTTTGGTTTTCTTAATGTTGAGTTTCAAGCCAACTTTTGCACTCTCCTTCTTCACCCGCATCAAGAGGCTCTTTAGTTCCTCTTCACTTTCTGCCATTAGAGTGGTATCATCTGCATATCTTAGGTTGTTGATATTTCTCCCGGCAATCTTAATTCCAACTTTTGATTCATCTAGCCCTGCCTTTCTCATGATGTGCTCTGCATATAAGTTAAATAGGCAGGGCGACAGTATACAGCCTTGCCGGACTCCTTTTCCAATTTTGAACCAATCAGTGGTTCCGTGTTCGGTTCTCACTGTTGCTTCTTGACCCGCATATAGGTTTCTCAAGAGACAAATGAGATGGTCTGGTACTCCCATCTCTTTAAGAACTTGCCACAATTTGTTGTGATCCACACAATCAAAGGCTTTTGCATAGTCAATGAAGCAGAAGTAGATGTTTTTCTGGAACTCCCTAGCTTTCTCCATGATCCAGCGTATGTTGGCAATTTGATCTCTAGTTCCTCTGCCTCTTCGAAATCCTGCCTGTACTTCTGGTAGTTCTCGATCCACATACTGCTGGAGTCTAGCTTGTAGGATTTTAAGCATAACTTTACTAGCATGTGAAATGAGTGCAATGGTGCGATAGTTTGAACATTCTTTGGCATTGCCTTTCTTTGGAATTGGAATGTAAACTGACCTTTTCCAATCCTGTGGCCACTGTTGAGTTTTCCAAATTTGCTGGCAAATTGAGTGTAGCACTTTTACTGCATCGTCTTTTAAGATTTTGAATAGCTCAGCTGGAATACTGTCACCTCCACTAGCTTTGTTGTTGCTCAGATTTTCTAAGGCCCATTTCACTTCACATTCTAGGATGTCTGGTTCGAGGTCAGTGACCATCTCATTGTGGTTATCTGGGATGTTTAAGCTCATTCTTGTATAGTTCTTCTGTGTAGTTTTGCCATCTCTTCTTAATCTCTTCTGCCTCTGTTAGGTCTCTGCCATTTTGGTCCTTTATCATGCCCATCTTTGCATGAAACGTTCCCTTCATATCTCCAATTTTCTTGAAGAGATCTCTGGTCCTCCCTATTCTGTTGTTTTCTTCTATTTCTTTGCACTGTTCATTTAAGAAGGTATTCTTATCTCTTCTAGCTATTCTCTGGAATTCTGTATTCAATTGGGTGTATCTTTCTCTTTCTCCTTTGCCTTTCGCTTCCCTTCTTTCCTCAGCTATTTGCAAAGCTTCCTCAGACAGCCATTTTGCTTTCTT